ATTTTCCTTTTTGCTAGTGAATTTATTAATCCTGTGCCGAAGAATGAAAAATTAAAATTAATCTGAATTTTAGACCCCCCCCGAGGGTTCTTGTAATCAATCATTGATCAGAGATTTAGGTCTCCTTTCCTCGTGTGTGGTTTTGAAATTCCCTTTTTTTCTTAGGTTTTCATTTGGGGGGTGTAATTAAGTTTACTTATTTTTGGAGGAGGTACTGGGGACTGAACCCAAGACCTCCTACGTGCTAAGCATGTGCTCTACCACTTGAGTTATGCCCTCCCCACTGGTTTTGAAATTCCCTTAATGAATTTTCTTTATCAGTTAAATTTAGTGCCATAATTTAAAGATAATGCAAAGTAAGATAGTTTATTTTTAAGAATAGAGTGTAGAAAAGAAATAGATTTTATGGGAGGATTTTTCTGCCTTGATATTTAAATTTCTTAAAACAACCAAGATTCTTTTGGCTGTAACTGACAGAGAGAAAGAACATAATCAAATTTCACTGTAGCAATTTGATTTCGTTCGCCATTGGCTTCTAGGTGACCTAGAAGTGGGGTCAACTTGAGGGAATGGATGTGGTTAGAAGGAGGATAGTCATGGCCAGTAGATTTATCCCAGCCGCTTATCAGCTGTGCAAACTAATATTGTGCTTATGTAAATACCTCTAATTTCTATAACATGTTTTGCTGTGTTTATGAACTTCCATGGACTTACGGAAGTAGTTTGAACTTGCAGCTTTCGTTATTGGCCTGCACTGTTTTCAGTGAGTGATCCTGAGAAAAAGAAGTTTCTGGGCACACACTACTCTTCCAGCCTCTTGCACTGTCCGTGATACAGCTGCAGGCGTGATTAATGGGAGACGTTATTCTTCGTGCCAGAGATCAGCTTCAGGAACCTAGAAATGGTTATTACTGAATGTTAAAGTGGCTAAGATCAAACAGCAGTCATTAATCAGATTTAAGTGCAAAAGAACACTGTTTGAAAAACATTTGTCATAACATGATAGATCAAATATAGATGAGAAATTGTATGTGTATCCTGTGCTCTGAAACGTCTTGGTGTTATGCATAACGGTCACATGTTACTCCTGTTATTTCTAGTTTTGTCTCCTGGTCTGCAGTGTGTGCACATTTTTTACGATCTTGGGAAGCTACATTCCTGGGGTTATACTCAGCTATCTACTGTGTAAGTATAGTAGAACATGTGACTAATGTATGTGACGCATACGGTATCATTTTATGGTCGACAAGATC